TGCTGAGAAAGATGTCCATCGGAATAAGCTGCAGAAACAAGGACATGTCATGCTTAGAAGGAAGTCTAAGGGAAATCCGTTGTATCGTAAAAGTAAGTGGTTTGGTAAACTATTTGGTACGCTATTCTTATGCCTGCAAGCTCCTTCTTGACGCAACATTTGATTAATTATTGTTGTGGCGAAAACCCCTCAATGCGGGTTTGTTAGAATATTTATGTACAGTACGTACTAGTGTTACATTACACATACTCTCGTACCTACAGTTCAACTTTATATTTATCTAATGATGTACTTAACGACTACTATTGACTTTGACACTAACCTCATTGGTAGTTTTCCATTCTATATTCCAAATTTCCAATGCCTGCGCACCTATCGCACATACCTATTCTGATCCTAAAACATTGGTCCAGGTGGCGGCAGTATCGGTGACTCAAGCGAGTCATGTTCCATAGAAGTCGGAGGCACAACTGTCATTACCGAGGTCCCCGAGGGTGGCGGTCTCCGCGCCAGTAAGTCAGACACGAGTCTGACGGACTCCTTCGTGGTAGTGTCGGCGCCGGCCTCGCCCGCTTCACCCGCCATTACACAGAAACAGGCTGCTAAGATACAGCCCGCTACTGTCGATATAGGTGAGGCTATGTCTATATTAATTTGTGATTGTTGGTTAATTATTGTTGAAAGAACTGAATTGATAATCTATAATTAATGTAAATGATGTCATAACTCATAACAGACAAGACACTTTTACGGCACGAGGTGGACATCCGGTATGGCAACCCCACTCACACAGTGAAACACAACTCGGTTGTTGGTTAACATCGGTTTTTTAGGCAATTATACTTTTGCCTATAGTTTTAACACTTTTAACTATAACGTTTACGCCAACAATAACAAATTTCAAATAACTTCTACAGAATCGGGTATGAAATGGATCCGCCGCCTAGTCCTCCGCGGCAAGTTAACGATGCACACAGCGTACGAGCGCCGCGACAACGCGTGCCCCGCCTCCGTCACTGCTGTAGCTGCCGCGCGCAGTGGACGGGGCCTCGCTGTCGGAGACGCTAGGGGACGGGTAATTTGTTTTATTTATACCTTCGTATTTTGTACTTCAATACGGTATTCTTATTTCATTCTAATGGAATAACAAAATATAACGTGAAAAAACGATTAAAACGAGTTACTGATATTTCATGTTGGTAGAGAAACTTGATTTTTTGGTGTTTTTCTCTATTAAATTGAACCTTGCAGCATTAGCCTGAAAGGTAAATCTCTTCAAGATGTTTAAATTTTTCATCCTTTGACACCATTCATTACACATTTATTGACATATTTCATAAACATGTTGTAATTTGTTGACAGATTTTCCGTTGGTCTGCCCCTGACATGTCGAGCTCGGCGGGAGCCAAGGGCGGCCCCGCCGACCACTGGATCCGAGACGATACCGCGCCCTACTGTACACAATGCCAGGTATGTTTCGTACTCACATACATTAACTTACACCCTGTTCTTTTAAAGCCGTTATAAAATAGAATCACCTTTACGCATAAAACGATTTTATAAAAATAGAGATTTGAATAGATCTCAGATACGGACATTAGCTACTTTTTATCATGTGTCAAAGTAAAACTGCGGTCCATTTTGAAGCATATAAACATGGTAATACTAACAGATGCTAAACCGCGTAGAACTAACTTATAAACAAGCACTTTGACAAAGAAATATTTGGTGTAAAACTGTAAACAAGCTACAATATTGTTGCAGGTCCGCTTCACGGCGTTAGAGCGCCGCCACCACTGCCGCGAGTGTGGCGCGGTGTTCTGCGGGCGTTGCTCCCGGTACGAGGCGCCCGTGCGTCGTCTGCGGGCGCTGCGCCCCGTGCGCGTCTGTCAGCGCTGCCACGACAACATCACCGCGCGCTAGGTATTGTCTACCAACATTACACTATGTCCTGTACGTCAATATGCAAATATATCCTCTATGGTGATATCAATCCACCCTGTTGTCTTCGTTGCTTACTTATTACCTGAATCCTTATAACAAAATTAAAAGATACATAACATAAAAAAAGTAATCTGTCGTCTTTCAAATGGAAAATCGATATGTAAAAAAAAACTTTTGTGTGATTTTCTCTTTAACAACAAATATAATATACTTTAATATCTTTAAATTGTTACTAGACTCAAGGTATAAGTAAACTCAAGTCATGCGTTTGTAACATTACCATATCGCGAATCCTGTAAGTACAGTTAATAACAGAAAAATAAATAACGCTTATATTTTAACAAGAACTATTCGCTTTTATAACAGCTCTAAAATGTTATTGACTGTACTGTACCAAACAATATTCTATGTGTGTATAATGAATATAAAAATATGTTCGACGTAGTAGACGTTGCGGTGTGCCTATTCGTATTACGAGGAGTTAAAATATATCTGTATAGGATAATGTTGTGGTCCTCTCGATAAAAGTAATCGCTATTATATCATCATAAATCATAATAATCATGAATTAGTGTGTTGTCACGCTACTGGAATTAATGTATATCGTTTCATCAGCGCAATCGCCAATTTGCGTGATTAAATATATTAATGTTTTAGACTTACTTTGTGTACCTACATCCAAGTAGTATTTCCTAAAAGTACTAATTGTTGCATCTTCGTTATATTTATAGCCAAAGTTATTTTCTACGATACTTTATATACGCTGTTTTATAGACCGCTTTTATTTTTAATTTATATTTTATAATCAGCTTATTTATAAAACATATTATTTTGGTGCTGCTTCTTCTTTCATAAAAACACAGTATTAATACGATTAGGTAATTGTACAACTATTGTTTTTAATAATTTATTTATTTAAGATAGATCTCAATAATCTCGAAGTTTAATAGTTTGTATATTTTAAAGTATTTCATAAATTATTTAATTATTTGTTTAAATTCGAATTAAATGTTGAAAGTCAAATTAGAAGGACATTACTTTTGAAATGTGATATGATATTTAGTTTGATATATCAATTAGCTGCATCATTAAATGTATAAATTCATTCCACATCCAGAGTTGCGATGGAAATTCATGTGAATATAAATTAGTGCTAGTCATATTTTTGTACCTATATTTCATTTATCTGTGAGTGTTATATGTATTGCTCCTCGCATAGATTGTAGCGCAAGGTATATCCATGTATTATTGAGTTTGTGTTATGTTTGTGTCGCTTGAGCTCCCGGCTTACGCATTTATATGCAACATTCCTAGTCGCTTACGTACAAGGCTGCGTGTTGCAGTCCTGCAACAGAATGTATTACAAACACGATCATAATAACTGTCTATTATGCTGGAGCTTTCAATAAGTGTATTCTAACTAATCATACTACAGTTAACTAAATTCCAATGTATCTATGGTCCGCAGAAATAAGTAGTGCTTTCATACTTTCACTGTTTACATAAAACAGGGTACTATGGAACTGTCTTCACTTAGTAAATGTGTTATCTATGCATATGTGTTTACTACTCGGGATTATAATCATATTATAATAACTTATGCTGTCGGAAATTATACAAATTCCTTCCACTGATAACGTATTTCGATACCAAAATTATTTTTGCTATTAACGATAAATGTATGTTAAAAATCTAAATAGTACGCGTTAGTTCTATCGCTCACTTGAAGACATAATCGGTAGCATGTATGCATAGTTCACAGTCGCGTCAACAATACTTAAAAATTAGCAAATAGAACTTTATACCTTTCCTGCTTGGCGACAAGAATTAATATAATTGTATGTCCATAGAATAAAATGTTTAATATTAAAAGAATTGTAACTGTTCAATAGGATTATAAAATATAATACATCTTTACAGATCTTGCCGAAGTAAATATTGTATAAATATGCATTCGCAATTTTCTATATTTTATAAACTCAAAAAATGAAATTAGTAAAGTTTATCTTGAATAAATGAAATGGTTATTATGAAGTTTGAAATACTATAATCTTGCTTTGAACTATGTAAGTTATGTAACTTATTGGGTCGTTTAGTGTCTGTAGCAAGGTTACTATAACAATTAGGAATAAGTGGATGTTCTTAGTCACCTGACCTGTCGTGTATAGAGAAATAATTTACAGACAATATAATACGTTGTTTAGGTAGTACGTAGGCACTGAAGTTTATGCCGTTGACTAATGTATTCATGTACCCGTAAATGAATAAAGTGGTGCAGCAAACCAAATTGTGTTTTTTTTATTAACACTCGTCCTCCATACACTCTAGTACTATTCCTCGTTCTGGTCACCGACAGCAGTGCAAATGCACCCTGCTAACGCACAATTATACCTAAGAGACAAATCAATAATATATGTATACCCCTGTGTGTATAATAAAATCCAAAGTATCTTAAAAAACTAGAGGTTTTAGCCAAAAAATAAGTAAATTTTTGAACCACCCTAGACCTCGACCTTCGCGGGCCTGCGGACGGCGATCATGGGTGGCTCCCCGTCCGACCAGAAACAGACCCGAGCGTACGGCGCGTCGCGTTCCGCGCGCGCCTCAAAGAGCCATGAGACCACCACAGGTGGGGCCCAATAGGGCCGATGCCGATTCGGAGTCGCGGAGAACCTAACGGGTAACCGGGGCTCCGGCTCGACGTGCAGGAGAAGGAACGGGGTGCTTTTAGTCAGTAAGAGTCTGACACTCCCTCCCGCCTCATCCAGACGGGAGCAGTCATTCGATGATTTTCCCCCCTTAAAAAAAAAAAAGACCTCGACCTTGGGTAAATTGGACCCACTTTAAAAAGTATCAATCCTACGGACATTGGGGCTGTAATGTGAGATCCAAATTACTATAGATAACTATTTTTTGTTGCTGGACTCTGTTTAATTTTATGTGACTTTTACATGTACATTTTGACCATTTCATAATATCCGGACTATACTTGTCACTAACGCAATTCACACAAAAGGGTTATACATATTGATGATTAAATAAAAGAAATGTTTCAACTAAACATAATTTATTATTTTTTATAATATTTGAACTCTCATTATCTAATATATCTACATATATACGCCAATATTTACATGCTTTAGACAAAGATAAAATCACTGTATAATATACAAATAACACCCAACAAAAGGTCAATAACAACGTGATTTTTATATATTTAAGTACAACGGTTCCAATAGTTCAATATAAGCACACGAAAATATATTCCGGAATGACCTACTCATTTATAACTACGAATCTAATGTACTTTGTATAACAGCGATAACTTTAAAGTTCGCTTATAGGTGCTAATCAAGATATAATGTGCACTTAGACGTAGTCAAATGTCAATACATTTACAGTATCATAAATATTTTCCTTTAATTTCATTCTGTACATCGCTACAATACATTAGTTCGGAAAGAGAACCACAAAATATTCAGAAACATACTGCAAATATTCATTATATGAAGATTGATTTCCACAATTAAATAGGACATTCAGAATATACGCTTAAAAGTATCCAAATATAGGTGCCTTTAAAGCTGCATTACATTATAACAACATTAATTTTCGGTTACAATGATAATATCTAGAAGTTTTTCAATAAGTTTAAGTACTATTTATTAAAGTTTTACAATTCGTAAGTACATAAGTGCGTATAATTTATGCAAGGCTAGCTTGTGATATGCATTATATCTATTCAATCTATCAATTACAATGTGTTATTTTCAAAGTATACTGGAATGTAGATATGCAACTAATTTGAATTGCTATTAAGGTCTTTCCACTTGGCCGTGTCATGTCGGGGCCGTAACTGAGCGTAACATTATGATTACAATTTCTGAAGGCCCCGTACTAACTGTATACAAAAAGATTTTATTGAAGACACGGCATAGATGTGTGCGGTTAGAACGTTTTGTGTTAAATTCGTTAAAATAATGTCTCCATTTTAGACTTCAATTAAAATGAATGCAAAACAGAGACGACTATACAAGATGCGACAAAACTATTTACAGCAACATACATTGATTTAACCATGTAATCTATACTTAAGATAGCTGGCTCAACATAACAGAAAACTATAACATCATAACGTAAATTAGTAACTAAATTATTATTAAGGTTGTGTAAAGTAAGTACGCAAATTTTAAAATGACTAACATGAAAATGACAATTACCATTTGTTCGTTCCAAACACCTACTATTTATAGCAGCGTAGAAAAAAATGTAATAAAAAAGTATAAAAAACAGATCCACGAATGATGAAGAGATAAATAGCTTACAACTTTACAAGTATATACAAAAAAGGAAAAATATATCAAAAATCCTATTTTACATAAAAATGATTTAATATTAAAATACTGCATTGTTCGTTTGTTTGTGTTGTACAGTGTTTAGATAATCCGCTCGGCCCGACTAATACTGTATGGACGAATTTTATGGAATTAATATAAACTTACGTATAAAAGACGAAACACTTTAACATACACAACAGTAGCGTGTGGCGCGAAAGCACGGTGCGTTTCACTATAGAGTTAAGTACAATATTATAAATTAAGCTAGTCATCACACAAATGTAATTTTCATTTATTTCTCAAAATCCGTCAATTTCTCGCACCGGTTATATTGATACAAAATAACAATCGTCCCGAGATCTTTGTCAAGCTGTTTCATATTGTTTGTGTCATATCAATGCAACCCCGTTACAACGTACAAGCACTGTATACCAGTACTAGTCAATTTGGCAACACAAGCATACAACTTCAGTTACGTATAAATTAGGATTATGTCTAACATACATTGCGGTCTTGGAACAGCAACCAACTCTGAAAGATATAATTTTAACAATGCTTCTCTAACTGCAACATGAGTCACTGTTTGATTATTATGAAAATTTCTCTATAACACATTAGCAAGACTGGGTAAGCATTACATCACATTTATTTATGGTATTTTGAAATAAGAGCATGATACGTTCGGGGCCATGGCGTTCATGCTATACAGTGAATCGAGGCCCAGTCGTATTAGTTCAACCACTAACTCATTTAACTCGTTGAGTACCGTCATTACAGACACAATTATAGAACAATAGGTTGCGGTCACCGGTGACCGCTTAGTGTTAAACAGTTAAATATGATGTTTGTCAATAGCTACAAATAGCAATACTCAGTAAATAACAACATCGACGTATACTGGTACGATGCGTCTATTCAATTTACTAACAGGAACATTTGCTTCTTCCTTTTGCGGAATCGTATTAGAGGAAATATTCCATCTCATTTTAAGTTATCGTTTTATAAATATTATTACAAAAATAACACGAGTAGTTAGCTAACCCTACTCTTTTGCTACGAAACAAGTATAAGTACTCATTGTTTTTTTTACTTTTTAAGTAAGACGACATCGATCGATTAGTGCAATAAGTACATGGTTCCAGCGAGATATCGCAAGAGAACGCTTTGCTTTGCCCTCTATCAAGTATATTCATAATAATTTCTACATAGACAAGTGGTACAAGTAACCAGCCGAAGCGAGGTTACGAATAGGATTTATAATAACGCGCTGCACGACTTCTGACGTGGACTGGAATTCGTTGAGCCCTAACCCAATCCGTCACGACGGAAGCAGAATATTTGCTGAGCGGCTATATCGTGTCGAGAAGAATGGGGGGCGCCAGTCCCGGGCTTCAGTCGAACACCAGCAGGAGCTGGTCCGGTGCAGCGCGGGCCGCGCCCTACAGGGCCGGGGCCACGTCCCCTGGGGACAAGAACGGGTTTGTGGACGCCGCGCGACCTGCGTAAGACGCGGCGCGGCCTGTCTGTCCCAGCGGCGGGGCTCGTACTGGCTGCGGGGCCCGCGCCACTGGCGGGGCCTGTGTGAGTGGCGGGGCCTGCGCCACGCGGCCGAGCCAGGCGTCGGGGTGCGGCAGAGTGCCGGCGGCGGCCACGGGCTCGGCGGCCGCCACTGCCACGGGCTCCTCCGCCAGCGCACGCAGCCCCGCCGACAACTGCTGGCACATCGCCGCTACTGGGTCCGCGGACGACAGTTCCGCCTGAAACAATGCCATCAAGAGATTGATTCATTAATCTAATAAACTATCCCATTAATGCTGACTCATTGACTTGTATCCATATCTTAGACAGTAAAGACTATAAACTGAATATTATACCTGTGCGGGTACCGCTTCAGGCCTTGGTTCAGCCACAGCTACAGGCACGGCTGCGACGGCTCGCGTGGGAGAGCCCAGCCCGGCGCGCTGACGCTCCAAGTTAGAGGGGAGCTCACTGATACGCAGGGACATCTGACGCTTGAATGGAGAACTGAAAAACATTGTGTTTTTATTAGTAAAACCAGTAATAAAAAAGAACAACGAAGTTTCGAATAGCGAGGACCTTGCTCCGTCCATTTTCTAAAAACGTTAGAATAGCCAGACAATTTCTGAGGTTCTGGGAGTAGAGGGGCCTACCGTGTATAAGAAAAAACGACAAAAGAGAAGTCTAGCTAGATATCCGTTTTACTTAAAAATGTACAAAAGTATATTATTTCAATTATCTAACAAACCTGTTGTTAAGATGCGCGAATCCACGGAAAGACCCCTGTCGCTCGAGTAGATGTGGCGCGGCGTGGGGTCGCTCCACTGCGAAGGGATTGTGCGGGGTCGGGCGCGGGGCCGCCGGCTGCACTACCGGCACCGCCGCGGGGACATTCGTCACCCCGCCCAGGGACCCCACGGGTATTATCACCGACCCATTGCTGTTATTAGCGTCTGCTTCCGACGCACGACGTGGAGTTATGCCTGGAAAGAGATAAATTAATGTAATTAAAATGACACGCAGATATAATATAAACACAACGTGAATTTTGATGGCAGTGATTTTTGTTTTATTACATTAGTAGTTACTATTCTTTTGATAACAGAAAAGCTGGCACCACATGCGAATTAAATTTTATAAATATTGATAACAAGTTTCCGACTCAAAAATTGATGCGATTAGGTTCTAAACCAAAAGAACTTTAGTTTAATTACTAACCAGATTTCCTGAAAGAGCCCTGCCTGGTGAACGCATGGCTCGCAGCGTCGATGCTCATAGACACGGCGCACTCCTTATCTCTGCGCTGTTTGCGTTCCAAGCACGCCGCGAACGCGCAACCGACCGCGTGAGACAGACGCTCACCACTGTCGCGGGACGCTAGGAAACCGTGGCACATCCAACGACGAGTCGTACCATCGCGGCATATGTAACTGGAAAAGATATAAATTACGTTAAAAATGTGCATTTAAGATACACAGTAACTTATACAATAATGAGCTTTTGGTACACAGCTTTTTCCCCGAACAGAAATCTGAAGATCTTAACGACTTCTGTTGTTTTTTTAGTAAACAATAGTTCTTCATAAGCAGGTAAAAACTGTATAAAAATCAATATAGTGTTCATGTACTTTAGATTATCAAAAATATCTTTGACTTTAAACAAAACTTAGGATAGTTTACAAAATCTAAAAGACAATAAAGCAAGGCAATGGAAGACTTTGCCAATATGTAGTTAGAAGGTCAACCACAAGGCTGGATGATAAGAAAACAATAAAAATAAAGGCGTGGCTGCTATTGGCAGATGTTCACGTATTTTAGTAGGACTCCGTGACTTTTAAGTCGAATTACATACGAGTTTTAGCACACGTGGAACTAATGTATGAACTAAAATATTGTCTTATTTTGAATACAACTTCAAGACAATAGAAGTACTGGACTATTGTCTTTATATACATACGCATACTATACCGATTACCTAATATTATTGTAAACAGGCGTTCAAGTTCATTGATGAATTGTAAACTCAATGTTTCTGTCTGTCAATTATTTACAATTTCTGAACTAAAAATATTATAAGACACATGCTTATTTTAAAACCTATGTAGTCTTCATAGGATTTTCATATCTTTTATCCTAGTAAAGACTTCTTAGGATACTTATTTGAAATTCATGGTCATTTTCATCAACCTCGCTTAAATTTTAAGGAATCCCTAAGCTAAGATTAGACTAATTATGCAATTAACGACAATTTCGTTTTCACTAACGAATAAATGACACCTAACAGTATACGTAAGGGGTTAGTATAAGTGGTATGTCACGTTAAGTAACCATTAGGAAATGGTTTAGGTTTAAAATAGAAGTAATACTCGAGAAGTCCTAGTTCCATAGACAAAGCTTGAAATTGACCTCTACCATTCAATAAACAAATAAAAATTGTCATAAATACCTGAATCCCCTTTCATGGTTCCTATCAGGCGCGCAGAATGAAACCTTCTCAATAGTCTGGTCTACAATGAGCCCCTTAGTCTCCTCCTCAACGACGCGCAGTCCATCACCGCTGACGTGCAACACGGCGCGCACTGGACGACGACGGGAATTCTGTAACGTTACCGTGTCAATAGAGAATACGAACTTGCAAGTCTGCTTAAACTACAAAATTCAATAACTTGGTATTCAATTTAAAGAGCTTTTTAAACATTGTTTTTCTCGTAAATCAATTCATTTATTCATTTATTTATATCTTCTTCCTTCAAAAATTTCAGTGAATGGCTAACATAAGTCAACCATTCATTATTGGTTGATAAGCGATATACCATAGATGGAACCTATAACATATCATTATGCAGAAGGCGAGACACGGTCATGGCATCATCCAAGCAGTCATGGACGAAAAACGTTAAATACCGTTAAACTGTCAAACACCAAGCGGTCACCGGTGACCGCAACCTATTGTTCTATAATTGTGTCTACAAAACCGGTACTCAACGAGTTAAGTGACCGTTAAGTCTGACGGACACTTCTTCACTGAAATACACTAATTTTGGGTCTTCATCACCAAGTCATTGAATTTTGAAATCTAAGTTATTAGGTTAGGAAAAGAAGCAAACATGCCATTTTTGCTATGGAATGTGTTAATTGATAGTGTTAATCAGGTTATTTTATTAAAGTTCATTTGGAATTCCTATAATTCTTGCATCTATCTTTGTATAGGTAGAATGTGTCGTAACGCGAATTTACCTTGTAGCGATATGAATCATGATGTCGGGGTCATTGCAGTGTGATACGAGTGAGTGTTTCGTTGATATCTTGGTCATTTTGTGCATTTTTTTGTTTAAATTTTTAATATTAAATTCAAAAAGTATATTTTTCTTTCGTTTATCTGTCAAAAAGTGATTTACGCACAATGCGGATCGTAGAAGTTCGATTATTTGCTAGGTAACCTATCAGTTCGTCTCTTCTTTATTTATAGTTGCGATATACTTCTTGCTTTAAAAACGAGTAGGAACCTCGTTTAAAAAAGGTCTCGAGTCGACTACTTAGTGGTATGATGTTATTAATATTAAATATTAAAATACGCGTGTCAGCGAACATGTAGGACGTCTAAAAATATCTGGGTCGTACGTGTTTATAATAAAAATGTTAGCAATCTTCTGAAGCCGGTGACACACAAGTACCAAGAATTGCTAATAACCGACACTTGAAAATAGATGCTAAATATGACATGTGTTATTCACCGAAGGAAAAAAGCTTTACCATAATTAAGTAGAACTATGGTTTTACTGACAGTACTGATAGTGCACCCAAACTTCGTGATTCATGTCCCATTGTTCATGAGCCTATTGTCACACCGGACAGCATTTTATTCTATGCTATTTGTAAAAAATTTGAGATAACGTTTTGTTACATCCGGTATCCGAGCCCTCTGTCCCAGACATCATGTGCTGTATTCTTACGACTACTCAACCTACCCGGCAGAGGCTTTAATTAGCTACACCTACGTCTACTTATTAGGCACTCCAGTCACCTCCATTACGTCAATCACTTGAATTCATCAAAAAAACATTTTCATAACAAAAGATGTTTATAAACTGTATTGTAATTTGTAATTCAGGTTAGTGTTGTGAACCTATTATTATGAAAGTGGGTTATTTTAGTATAGCTTTTGTTAGCACAATTTCAAAATCTCAACTGTAAAGATGCTAGTCATTTTATTTAAACGCGCAAAAACTGTTAATGGAGTTGGCAGTTTCCTATATAAAACGAGTATTTGTTAGTTAATTGCATGTATTGACAAAGTTCAATGTTACTGTGTGATCTTTGATCTGTGATCTTATAGCTATAGATTGAAAACAGCGATGCAATCACCGCACTGTGTGATACGTAAACATGCCAAGATGCATCAAACAACCTCTACATTAGAACATAGGGAGGTGCGAGAACATTTAGCACCGCATTGATTCGTTCTCGTCACACACCGACTTCACAGTTGTCTGTACAAGGTCGGGATATGTATTAGTATATCTACTGTTCATAACTACATTGCTAAATCCGTCTCTGCGATATAGTTTTGTGAGTATGTAAGGATTACACGCAACATTTTGTTTCACACATTAATGTGCGCATAAAATACTAAAGTTAGTTAACTAAGTAACGCATGCATTCAAACTTCACTGATCACATTCTACATTTTCCTAAGTTACGAATGCTATTTAACCTTTTCACCGCCAGTCGACAATAGCCGACAGCGCCCACCACCGACATTAAAATAAAATATTCATCCACCCATAAGGTCGACTGTTAAATTAGGTCTCTTTTAGCTGGCGCTCAGGGTATGGTTCGGATACGCGAGGCCCAGCGATAAAAAGGTTAAAACTCACCCTAAGCACCTTAAGCGCTTCCTCGCAGACTTGCATTCCGCGGGACTCGAACACCTCGACGCAGCCGAGGTACTTGACGGGGAAGGTGCATGTGCCTGCTCGCACAGCGGCCTCGTCTGCGTGCCATTGATGAGGCCGTGCTGACTCTGGAGGCGAACCCTTGCGTCTCCGGAAGGATTCCCGAAACGAGCGTCGCAGTCGCTCCATGCCGGCGCGCGGCGGGGACAGAGCCGCGCCCGCGCGCGCTCTCCGCAACGACGCACGCACAGACGACTTCTGAAAACCATAACATATTGTGTTAAGAATGGTCACTATGAACTACAGACTATGAATCTTACATTTGGTATGCCATAGCGTCTCATCTTGCGTCTCTATTTCAAAAGGGATGTAAACATAACACTACGTATGGAGTTCATTGATGCGCAGTTCCTCGTAACCGCGCGTTGCGTGCGGTGTAACGTTACATTATCGCTAATGTGAATAGTACATCTCCAATCACTAGTAAGAGTGAACTGGTTGTAAGTATCATGAATAAGTATAAATGTTGATGGCAGGTCCCAGGTAACGGTAACAGTACACGCTATGATACATCAACTGTCAACCGTATCGGTAACAATGCCCAGAGCTGTCGTTTCCACAAATTCAATAATAAAATCCGTACAATAACAACAATGAGTAGCAGTGCTGGACAATTGGTATTGATAGGTATAGTGGCGCTAATAGTGTTTCTCTTTAATTTTCACAATAAGGATAAAGTTTATTTAAATTTAAAGGTACAACTACTACGAAGACGTTCCATTCATAAGTTACTAAGCAGGCCCACGCTTAGTCACAGGTCTATGTACGACAAGTATCAAGTTACACCTACTTAGCTTGGTTAAATAGTTACCTTCTGACGTTAGCTAGAGTTGTATAAATAACCGTACTTAAAATAAATAGAAAGTTTAGTTTATATATACAATGTGAGAAGCTGCTATATTAAATAACCAGTAGATTTTCGTGTAGACCTCATAAAGGTTGTCGAATAACAACTTTGTAGTGCAGATAAACACAAAATAACTACTAAGACTTACTAAATTTTAGAAAGGAAATAACATTAATCACGTGTAACGTTAACTATGTAAATAAATATCAACGTGAATCGATCAGTGGAGCACGTGTAGTACTTCAAAGTCACCACGTTGCAGTGGATGAGACAAATAACACTTGTGTAGGCAAAGATATCAAATCAAGTCACAAGATTATAAAATATCAACGCAATCGAGTTTCGTTTGGAGATAAGAAAAGGTGGTTGTAACGTTACAACTGACAGAAGTAATGTTTTCGGTAAAAGGTTGATAACTTTGATAAAACGAATGAACGGAACATTATACCCGTGATCTGGGACGTTTGACGTTTAATCACCAACTTCCCATTGAAATAAGGACTACATTCGCGTGATTTTAGCTTATCGGGTACTTACATTAAATATTGCTTGCAAGCTTTCGAGGAAAATAATGGGTTGGGAGGATTTAGTTTTGTCAAAGATTTTGGTAAGGTTATTATGATTTTAGATAAAAAATTACGATGAAAATTGTCTAACTAAGCGAACAAATAATAAAAATCAAAAGTATGACGTGACATTCCAATAATCTGTTATCGTTTCCCTATATTTTGATTCAATTCACCGTAAACATGATTCAGAGGGGTTTCCTTTTTTGGTGTAGGAGTATCCAGAGGATGAGCGTAATAAAGGACGGAAACAATAACTCGCCCACTAATAATGAATTTAGGAATTACCTATTAATTACATTTCTTTTGTAACGATATTTCGACACACATAAATGTCATCGAAACATATGTATAAAGCACGAATATTAAATAAGGTTTATCGGTACATAATACTTAATAAGTACCACGTTTAACAGAATATGAATTGTATATTAGGCTAAAAATAATGAAAACTGACGACTAAAACTCGAGAACGGCTGAACCGATTTGGCTAATTTTTCGTAGAAGTCCAGAGTAGGTATAAAATTTGAGAAAAAATTTTTGGCGGTACGAAATTTGCCGAGTCAGCTAGTGATATAGGTATAATTATTGTTCGTGCAATAGGTATGTGGTTACCTAATTGAGTACTTTCGTTAATCAAAAATAAATGATTTTGACTGTTCAATATAATAAAATATTTTAGTACTTTTCCAGCAAGAAGCTTTTCTTTTTTTGAAGAATAATGCAGCATGCCGTTTTTCGCTAAATAAACGTGACATCACAACACACAATCTCGAACAAAATTCATAAAAAACTGTCGTTTTTGACAGTTCGAAAAAAGTATTGAATTTGACTAGTTGGCAAGTACCCAATTAAAATCTGTTTTGAAAATGTTACTTAGAGGAGAATTGTTTTAAACTACTTACTTCTGGGTTGTCGAAGTGAATTTTTGATCTTTGACAACAATATTCCTCAGGTACCTTACAAATATTTCCCTAAAAATAAATTATTTTACCCCTTATAAACTAAATCTACTCTGAAACTATTGGGATCAAAATATTCGTTTTACTTTTAACCGTCGGAGTAAGTACCTACCTAAACAAAGGCAGGCAGGCAGACAGAATCGCGAGTTTGGTAGGTGGAGGAAAATTTTCTAAATTCCACACAGGAAACCACAGACAGATAGCTATTAATTTAATGATTTTATGGTTCACATTAATCTGTTTAACTATTAACCTCGTATACAGCGTGTGTCGTAAATTAAACAATATTTGTATTCATATTTACGTTAATAAAATGTACCAGTGGATCGTTCATAACTCCATACATTTCATTGAATAAATGCATCAAAATTTTATAAGAACAAACAGAAATAATAATTAGCAAAACATGACAAAGTTTATTTTTAGCAAACTTAAAGTCGTTATTTCCAAATTCGGGTAAAAAAATATGTATAAACATTCACATTCATGCATTATCATAAGAATGGACGAAAATTTAGTTCCCAGGCATATTTACAAACGACAATGACACACTTTCAAAACCAGATGTGCACTTAATAATGAATCCATTATATTCATTACATAAGTATGTACTTAAAACTCACTAACACTCGTCAATCTGTCATTTGGATGGACTCTTCACTTAACTTTTTTTCGGGTAATAGGAGTCGTAGATATTTGAAATAGAGTGCAAAATTGTTTGCTGGTAAAAGCACAATACATTAATAATAAATGTGCCATTTGCAAATGTACATTTTTTTCAATTGTATGCTACATATTTTAATTTTGCTTTTACCTAAGTTATAAGGAAAGTGTAGATTTATCTATTTCCATTAACAGCATACACGCCAATAGGTTTTTATGGACATTTTAGTATTAGAGTAGACAGGACTTACTTTCCTAAAATAATGAATACCTAGAACTACTCGTCTTAGAATTTTGGGTTCATTATACATTGTGTTTGATTGGTGTTCTGAGGGTTTTACGATTTGAACTAAATCTTATTCTGTTCAAGGAATCTGTACAACAATCATGTCTGATTTTGAATGCTAGCTGCTATTACGGTAGGTAGGTGGTGGTCATCTGAGTCTTCAAATGTTGGTGTAGCTTTAGGTACCTAGTAGATGAGTAAATAAGTAAGTATATGTAGGCATACAGCTGTTCAGATTATGAGGAATTGTAGAAATGATAGATATGCGGACACATGTTACATTTAGGTACCTATAGCTGAAACTAAGAATACATATTTCACGAATATTTTTTTGATTAGATAACAGCAATTTAAACGAGCAGGTAACAAACATAACTTTATCAATATCTAATTAAATACCGAGAAGCATAATGTAAACAGACGTTGTATGTATATCAATTAGTTATATAAACTCAGAGCTTATGCCTATTATGTGAAAATATTAACAAAAAACTTTGACGTCATAGGTTGAATCAAGTATGAATATATTAGCTACACACATTCGAATACGAGGATGACGTTACTTCGCCTATTCCATGGTACCATTCAAACCTAGCAATGTAGCCAGCGGACTAAGCAGGCAAAGTACAAAGACTTCTAGATCTGAGCACGCTAAGCACGCACGTAACTCGTTATTATCTGGTGTGTAGGTAGGTACCTATTTAAATGTACGTGAGGTAGGAACTGCAGGAACAATAAACGCTGGCTACACCACTACCGACTACCTGTATAGCTTAGTATGTATTCAATGACTCAAGTTGAATAATGAATTGTAAATGAAGCATAATCAAATGATTGTACCATTTTAAGGTCAGCATTGGCAGCCGCCTGCGCCCTGTCGAATGGCTCGTGCGCTGAAGATCCTTGATTCCCCATCGTCAGGTGTCCACACTATTTCTTTTCAAAATTAAACTTTACACGCGGATCTGTAATTCACTAGTAATATACTACATCCACATCACGCGATGTCGTCACTATTCACATTACGGCGGACGTATTCACTAATTCCGTTGAAATTCAACGGCTATTTCAACATTTCATTCACTAACATCACACACGTTGCCTAATGTAAGAGTATTGTCCTCCTCTGATAATGTTCTATCCGCAACACAGTAAGATAATAATTTCGACGAAGTTGAAACTCGACAAACATCGCAAAGCCCAGAATAAATAGTTTAGGTCTGCGGAATGCTGCAACCTTGTCAGTTGGCGCATAAAAACATTCGGTATTTACGCTGGTGCCTCATTAATCACTTTACACAGAATTAGTTTCATTTGAGTAGCTTTCAATTTAACCTGTTGCATCTACAAGCTCTTGTGTTGCTAACTTTCAATTCGATCATCTAAGATGCGGTAGTTACTACAATACGAATCGTGTGAATTCGTTAACAATAATTTTTAAAAACGGGGGTCAACTTTTCCCACAAACGATGAATAAACGCAGAGAGGCGCATTGAACCCGGTACCCTGCCGGCGCGGGGAGAGAGGTAAGGTAGGTTGGGAACGACTGCCGATGCCAGCTGAACGTTATTTTTTCCCACAGCATTGTTCTTTGGACCGTAGCAAGTTTCGATTAGAGTACTAATCCACTTTTTTTTAATTTGCACAAACACTTCCGATTATAAACGTAAACACTGAACTTCATTTTGACTAGCAAATAAATTAGGAATGTTGAAGGAATTTGGAAAAGAGGCGCGCGCGACGCGCATTGAGCGACCAACTGTCGCACTGACTAGTGACTGTGGGTCGTACCGCGTGCGCCGTGAATCGCACAAACCCTGCAGCGGAGTCCCCGTCCCGTCCCTTGCCGCGCCCCGCAGACGACCGGTCCTTTG